ATAGTAGCTTGCGACGCAAGTGCGTATGGAGTAGGAGCATGTATCTTACACAGAATGACAGATGGTCAAGTAAAACCAATTGCTCATGCTTCTAGAGCACTACTTCCGGCTGAGAAGAATTACTCTCAGATAGAGAAAGAGGCGCTAGGAATAATATTTGCAGTAGCAAAATTTTCACCGTTTTCTCCACGGTCGACATTTTAAGCTACAAACCGATCATAAGCCTCTAATTTCGATTTTGGATCGAAAAAAAGGGTTTGCCGACGCATACAGCCAACCGACTACAGAGATGGGTACAATACTGCTAAATTATAACTTCAGCATGGAGTACATACCATCAAATAAATTTGGCTACGCTGATGGTATGTCCAGGTTAATTCCTAAAATGAGCGAACCATTAGAAGACACGGTAATTGACTCACTGAAGTCAGAAGAAGAGCTGAAATTTACTGTGTGTAATGTAGTTCGGGAACTTCCGGTAACTCTAGAAAAAAATAAAAGAAGCTACCAGGGACAAGTATATCTTGAAAATAAAAGGAAAAAAAGCCGAGATGGACCAGTTCACAACAAATGTTTTTTCGCTTTGTGATACAGTATTGTTATACAGAGAACGTGTGCTGATTCCATACACTGCAAAAGCAAATACTAAAGGATTTTCATACTGGTCATCCGGGCAGCACTAGGATGAAGAGCCAAATGCGAAGTTTTGTATATTGGCCGAATACGGACAGGGACATTGAGAACGCAGTGGCAAAATGTAAAGGCTGTGCTTTAGCTGCAAAGGCACCCCCAATAAAATTTAACCCCTCGCCAAAAACAGACCTACCATGCTCTAGGTTACATGTGGATTTTGCAGGTCCACTGAATGGATACCATTACATCATAGTAGTGGATAGTTTCTCGAAATGGCCTGAGATACAAAGGATAAGAAAACCGACGACGCAAAGTACTAAAAACTTCCTGCTGGAATTGTTTGCAAGGTTTGGTGTAGTAGACACAATTGTGACGGACAACGGAAGTCAGTTTACGTCGAAACAATTTAAAGATTTCTGCAAGGAATACAACGTCGAACATGTTACCACAGCTCCATATCACCCAAGATCAAACGGGTTAGCTGAAAAAATTTGTGGACACCCTAAAAGAGCTCTAAAGAAAGCTAGGGAAATACCTGCAGATGAAGCCCTACAGAAGTTTCTACAGGTATACAGAATTACCCCAAATAACGGAACACCAGCCTCACAATCGCCAGCCGAGGTGATGTTTGCACGTCGGTAAGATCTGTCTTCGACAAATTATTACCAAAAAAGCCAGGTAGAGAAAAATTTATTCAAGTAAAAAAATACAATCCTGGTGAAAAAGTATACTTTAAGGTCTATAAACAGAATAAATCATTCTGGGAGATTGGAAAAATAGAAAAGCGGATTGGCAATATGATGTACTTGGTGAAAGGCGAAAAATTCACGTGCAGACGGCACATTAACCAGATCAGACGACGCTCTTCAGACGTGGTTGACAGCGGTCCCGCAGAAGAAACGCCGATGGAGGTGATTTTCAATACGTTTGATCTAACAACGCCTGCAACGATTTTACCTGAGGTACGCTGATCCAGGAGAAAAAGAAAGGCAACTGATCATTTAAAAGTGGATCCAAAACGTAGGAGATACGCTACGATGTTGCTAAAAAAAATTTTTTTTTTGTTGTTTTTTCTTCATATCTCCTGTAAAAAATAAAGAAAGAAAACTATTTTACTCCTACGGAGTAAAGTTTTAGGAGGGGGTGTTATGGTGAAACACACCTATTCTATAGTTAATAGACTCTCCCACCTAATATAAGTAGGAGTAGTAAGAGAAACGAAACTCAGTCGATGTCGGACAACAGTAGTCGACAGTTAGTCGAATACGAAAGTTAAAAGCAAATTATGTTCATCTGTCTCGTACAAGATTAAGTTGGATGAAAACAAAAATATTTTTAACAACAAATATTTGGCTTGTTTAAATAAAGCCTAAGAAAGAAAAGAATAAAATAAACTTCAGGGAATGAGATAATTAGGATCCATGTCATGTCGTGGGAGACCGAAGATGTATATTTAGACACAGACGCTTTACTAAACTCACTATTTGTTCTAAATAATCGATTTTTACGAAATAGTTTAAAACTTTGAAAAAAATATGGGCAATAGGATTATTTTTACAATACTGAAGATTCAGTCAAAGGTGAACGAAAATAAATTCGAAGACATCTCTCCAAAGATCAATATTAATCAAAATATTGAAGATATCTGCTCTTTCTATCTGTATATATATATATATATATATATATATATATATATATGTGTGTGTGTGTGTGTGTGTGTGTGTGTGTGTGTGTGTGTCTATATACACGCACACACACACATATATATATATATATATATATATATATATATATATATATATATATATATATATATATATATTTAGTTGGATTGATGTGAAAAAATTGACCCTGGTTTTCACGCTGTTTGCGATATTCACCCAAACTGATTAACTTTTAAATTTTGGATTTATATATGGTTGCGTATTTTGGTGTTATTTTTTATGGTAGTGGGAGGAAAAATTGTTGTCATACTTACACAAACATACATACAGACACGTTCACTCATTGACGTACGCAGATATACATACACGCACGCTCACTCATTGGTGCTCACACAAGCATAAACATATGTGAAAAGTATATATATATATATATATATATATATATATGATATAAATATAGTTTTAAGATATGCTATATTTATGGATTAAATTGCTTAATATTATATCAGGGACAGAGCGGCTTAAACGCAATCTTTATGCTTAAAGACTGTGTCTAAACATGAAACAGAATTTTGCCGCTCTTATATATATATATATATATATATATATATATATATATATAAGTTTCAGATTAATTAACTCAAAAATAGGGGATACAAAAATAGCACTATTCAATTTAAAAACCCTGTTAATTGCAACCATAATAAGAAAAGAAGATCTAGAAAGATCATTTGGTTCACTCCCCCTTTCAATAAGTTAAAACTAAATTAGGGCGTATATTTCTCATACCCTTAAATTAAACCTCATCAAAAAACATTTCCCCAACCCTGAAACTGTAACAATGTTTCCCCCTAGTGTAGGATCGTTAATTAATCTGAAACTTTTAAAACCATTTATTTTATCTTCAACATCATCACTTGATAAGACACCGAGTGTGTTGAAACAAAATGGCTATTTTTGTAGTGATTTTATAACATACTTATGTTATAATTTTTTTATAAATAATAATTATATCTGCTCTACTTTGTATTGAGCACTCTTTTAAGAATAGTAATTGTTGGTTATTGGAATTCATTCCGTATATACCAATTATATACTTGGTATATATATATATATATATTGACATAATACGTTCTCAAATAACTGTACACATATCAAACTACTATACAGGAATCAAATGCATTCTAAATATGAGCAGTAGGAAGAAATTCTAAAAAGACTCATAAATACTAAAATCTCCCCCCCATCCAAGTAAAAAAATAAAATTAATTATATACTGTACTAAATTTAATACAACCAACCTAGTAGTCCAAAACAATTCTTCGCTGTCAACTAACGCCTTACAAAAACCAACATCGTATATCAGTTTAAATGTCCTTTGGGTGATTGCATCTCTGATAAAAAATGTTAATACGCATGTTGGTTTTACAACAACGACGATAGCGAGAAGGCTTAGGTTTCACTTGAACAATTAAAGAGACAATCATATCCACATTCACAGTTTAGATAGATAGTCAAAAATACATCAGTGCTTCATTAAAATAATATTAAGCAAAAACTTTAAATTTTGACAGTTCTTTATATAAGAGAATTTTGTCCGAAAAGAAATGAAGTCAACTACAAGTATAGCAACAAAGTTCTTAAATATTTGTAGCAGAAAAGTGTTATATAAAAATACTAAATTAAAATGCTACAATTAAAAGATCTTTTTAAAATATCACATAAGCTACCTCTATTGCATAGCAATGAAAAATATTTTGAATTTATGGTGTTAATGCATAACATATCCATAGATATGCAACCCCTGAAAATGGTCTGAGATGAGATTGAAAGTACTTGGGAAAATAAAAATTATTTGAAAGAAAATTTTGGAATTTCCCTTAATCAATTTTCTACAGCCACCAAAAAATTAAGTCGTGGACTTGAAAGGATTAAAACTAAAATAGATATAATACGTCTAAATTATTTAACCAAACATGGTTGAATGAAAATATTCTGCCTGAATATATATATATATATATATATATATATATATATATATCGTTCAAACATACTTTTCTGACTTTTGATGATTATGGATAATGCCCATTTGCTTCCCGTATCAATAAATCTCAAACCGTGTCAGGGATCTGTTTAATCGGCTAACGTTAGCGATAGTCTCTCGAAATTGCCGGTGACTGAAGCAGGTGCGATATGCGCATTAATTACTTGTTATAGACGCAGGCAAGATGCCACTTAATGCAAATTAAACCCGAGTCGGAAGGTGACAGAGAGAAGAAAAATGTTGGCTTTCAACACTTCACTGTGAATGTTGGGGGGGTGGGGTAGACAGCATTTCAATATCCACCCACCCAGCTGGAGAACAAGAGGTAAAGAAGTGTATTTAATGCATGTATCAATACTAAAAGTCTTTCCTGGAAAAATAGGCTATATTGTTTTTTTCTTGGGTTCTATTTAGAAAAGAAAATCAGACAAAATTTAAAGATGATGTCTGCAAAAAAAAAGGCTTGTCAAAAAGGATAGTTTTCGCTTGACTTTGCTGTTATTGCAACTGCATTCACTCCCTCTCTAGTGTTTATTGTTATAAAATGAGTTTTTATTTTAATTGTAATCAAGCCTAAATGCATGAAAGTGAATTTATACATTTTCTTTGTTCTTGAGAATTGACAAAAAAATAATCAACACTATTTATTTATTATTTAGCAGAACCTATCTCTCTCCCTTTTATTGTAAGTTTACTTCTCTCTCTCTCTCTCTCTCTCTCCTCTGTTTTATTCACGCTCTCTCCCATAGATCCATTTCTCTCTTTCATTGCCTCTTTCTTTCATTGTTTCTCTCTCTCTCTCTCTCTCTCTCGTTGTTTCTTTCCTCCTTGTCTCTTTCTTTCCCTCTCTCAGATATCTCCCCCTTTCACTCCCCCATTGTCTATTTCTCCTTTTCTCTCTCACATTGCTTCTCTCTTTCAGTCGATGTCATTGTCTTTTACGTCCATTGTCTCTCTCGCCAGTCGCTCTCACTATTGTCTCTCTGATCATTGTTTCTCTCTCAGTGTCTCTATCTCTCATTGTCTCTCTGTTTCTTTTTCTCTCGTCTCTTTCTTTCTCACTTTATTGTCTCTCACTCGCACAATGACCCTCTCTTTCTTTGTCATTGTCTCTACAAGTGTTGCTCCCATTCTCTTTATTGTCTCTTTTGCTCGTTATTTCTCTCATTGTCTCACTGACGCTTTAGCTCCCTAATCGTTTTCTCTCTCTTTCACACACACACACACACACACACATTACCTTCCTTTTAGTCCCTCTATTTCTCGCTCTTATTGCTTCTCTTTCTCGCTGTCCCTTTCTTTCCTTCTCTCTCATTTCCTATCTCTCTCTTTTCCCTTCTCCCGCCCATTGTCACCCTCTCAATATCTCTCTGAAGTCATCTCCCTCTTTCTTCTTGTCATTGATTCCCTCATATTGTTTCTCTTTTTCTCTTCGTCTCATTGTCGCTGTCGCCCATTCTCTCTCTCTCTCTCTCTCTCTCTCTCTCTCTCTCTCTCTCTCTCTCTCTCCCATGGATTGTTTCTTTCTATTTCTCACGCATTGCCTCTTTCCCATTGCCTTTCTCTCTCTCCTGGGGAGAGTCTCCCCCACCCAGTGCCTCTCTTTTCCGCCTCTCGCTCTCCTCTTGTCTATATTTCTCTCGCACGTCCTCGTGTTAATAAACCTAATGAAAGTAAACTTTCAAATATCACTATAAATACAATTATTGTACCAACCAAATACAAAAATGGTAGTTTTCAAACGAAGGTCAAATGTTCAACTACTAATAGACGACACGATTATAAATCTTCTCTCTCTTCCTCACAATCTTCATGCAGATAATTATGTTACCAGTGCCATAAAAATATCGACATATTTTCTTAGGTCCGCCACTAAAACACTTGATGACCAGAAAATGGCAAGTGATCTCTCCTCCGATCTAGCTCTAACATCTCAGTGACGGGGAAAACTAGCTGGTTACATTCACTGCTTCTAAAATGAAACTAGTTACATTCTATCATCGCCGATCGAGCCCCGAACTACCACCAGTCACGATTATTGAATGTCCCCCTTGCCTTGAACGTCTATTGGGTCTTAAACTCACCCAAGGCCACAAGTGGAACGCATCTAAAAACGCAGAAAAAATGTTTGGTTCCCTGTGCCGTTCCAGTAAGTATCTGACTCCTCCTGTTATCCCCTGCCTTCACAAAAAGCCAGACGAAGTCTGAATTGGAGTACTTCTGTCATATTTGGGCGGGAGATTCCCAGTCCTCACTTTCCAATCTCGATAGTGTCCAAAAGCGTCTCTGCGTCCTTGCCGGTGAAAAATTATTTTTCCACACTGCAACCGACTTTCACAGACAAGATTTGGTAAGCCTCTCACTGCTTTATCGCTACTTCCATGGAAAATGCTCGGATAAAGTGCATTTCTTTGTTCTGCCAGTTCTAACCTTCACGGCGAGGGTCAACCACACCACAGTTATTGTAACAATTCATTCTTCTTCCGTCCGTATTTCTCTGGTGAGAAGTATGTGCCAGCTTCCTTCAATGAACCACTGCTCTGTGGAACTGACTACCAAGAGGATGTTTACCCGACCGCTACCTGTTCAAATCTAGGGTAAACAGTTATCTTCCCCAACAATCCACATAAACCGTGCCTCTTACTCTGTAACCCTCTACGTCCAATGTCCCCCGGGCCTTGTACAGAGTGAACATCACTGTAAAATGGCTATTATTATTATTTTAGATCTTCACACCTGGTCTTTAAATACATAAATGCACCTGGGTATTTCATATATATATATATATATATATATATATATATATATATATATATAAATATATATATATATATATATATATATTAAGATACCATTATATAAATGATCATTTTCATCTTGTAAAATAAAATTTACATGATTTTTCAAACAATCAATGGATGATAAATTATTGAAATAAAAATTCACAGACAGAGGGAGGAAAGAAAGGAAGAAAAAGTGAAAAAAAAGAAGATGAAGAATAGAAAGGTGTGGAAGGTAGCAAAGGAAACAGGAAGTGATGTAAGTCTTGATATGAGTGGTGGTCAGAGGAGTGGGAAGAGAAAGAGAAGGAAAGGAGAGAAGAGATGACCCATTTAATATAGCCAGTAGTAATCAGACAGTAGATAGACTGAACTAACCAAAAGTAAATTAATGAAAAAAACAAATAATGTAAAATAATAAGACATAAAACCAAAAATATGAAAGAGAGATAATTCAGAATATAAGAATATCAAATTGACCAATATATAGGAAAGAATATTAAGAGTAATATTAAAAAAATAAATCTAAATATCTTAGGATGACCATTTCCAAATCAGCATATATCAAATTTAACTTATATTAATTAATACCCATCTACAAGGAAAAAAATTATATTTGAAATTAAATATATAAAATAAAAAAAAATTAAAATTAGACAAAAATGGAAAGCGTCTTTAGAATAAGGGAATTAAAAGGGTCTTTAAAATCGACAGAAAATACTATTTAAAAATAACTAATATATGAATATATTAATTAATTAATTAATAGCAACAAAAAATTTAAATAAATAAAAAATATTACAAAAATCCTTAAATTAAATTATTAAATACAAATTAAATACAAAATCAAAAAACAATATATATATATATATATATATATATATATATATATATATCAGTAAAATACTCTTCAATACTACATTTCAATATTATATATTAGCATATGCACTACATATTAAATATGAAAAGCCTCATAATATTAAAAAATATCTACATAATTAACTTAGACATATTATTTGTTTGAGTATAAATATAGAGAAAATATAAACCAATATATATATATAAACCAATTTATGAAATCGAGCATATAAAAAACATAATTATGTATTATTACATAATAATAAATTAACTCAAAAGATATATTAAGGTATATTATTATTAATATATAATACTGTAGTGAAAATATAATACCTATATGTAAAGGATAATTAAAGATAATTCAATAAAGATACCTTAAGGTAAGAAAAATGAAAAGATAATGCCAATAAGAGTAATATTAAAGATATTATTGATAGTAACCAAAAATTAATAGTAATTTAGTGATAGAGAAAAAATATTTCTATGAATTGTAACAAAAGAGAAATTTGTGAAGGATATATAAAAAAGGAGGAGAAGCGGAATACACACTGTAATTGTCAAAGATAAGATATTTTTGGTAAATTGTAAAAAAAGAGAAATTTGGGAAGGATATATAAAAACAAGCGGATAAGTGGAATATACAGTGTAATTGTCAAAGGTAACAGTTCGTATACTTATTAAAGGAAAACTGTTTACTCAAGTTCGGTCAGGACTGAAGAGAAGCAAGAATACACAGGTAATTTCTAAAAGATGACAATTCATGCAAGTTCGTGAAGAGTCTAGATAAGTTTTAACCTACTCCGATGATTAGTTCATTCCTTCGGTTTAACAGTATATCTGGATTTCTAAATTTAATAATTCTAATTTTCTCTTATCGGCAAAGAGTGCATCTACCTTTAAAACTACTAGGAGCGTGAGCAAACCCTATAATTTTCCAATCAATCTGAAGGTCCAATTCTTTCTCACTCAATTTCCAAAATGTTTTGGAAAGTGTGGTTTAGAATTTCAATTTGGGGTTGGAAAATGAGTGCTAATAGGTATACAGACGTTGGTTCCATTCACCCGCAGAAATTTAAATATAAATATTGTGGTTGTTCTTACTCTCTTTAGGGTAAATAGTTGCATGGTAAATTACATTACAGACTCTGGATTTTCCTTCTACTGGACAGAGTTCATCATTTCTACAGTTACATGGCGTATTCATATTAGGTGAATTGTTGATGCCATAGAATTTATTAAGAACAACTTTATTATGGGAATCAATAATACATATTATTGGTACAAGAATAACTTATTTTAATCGTTGTTCTCTTGAAGGATCGACTTAGCGGGTGGTTATTTTTTTAAATGTTTGTTTATAAGTTTTAAGAACACTTGTCCGATGTTAATTTTGAATAACCTGCAGAAAGGGGAGGGTTGAACCATATTATATTTCTTTTTCTGTTTCTACGCTTGTTATTATTATTATTATTATTATTATTATTATTATTATTTACGTTGGCCTTACTTATAGGGCTCAAGTACAAAAGTTTATTTTAAAACCACTTTTTGGGAGTGCCCTATTGTACAATCCTTTGTTTTTATTAAAGATATACTTGAAGACATTTTATGTTTATACATTCTTTTTATAGATACAAATATTTAAGTAAATGCTCTGTTTATAATAAACAATATTAAACAACATTTATTAGAGAAAAGTTTGCTAATCCTAGTTCCAACGATGAGCGGTATCTGCCTTAATATATATATATATATATATATATATATATATATATATATAGTAAAGATAACAAATCCGCTAGTATATAATCCAAGTGGATCCTAATAATATCAAATATTAAAACTGATCCACAAAAAGAGCTCAATGTATTTATTATTGCAGAGAAAATAATATAGGTTTAACTTAATTAGCTCCTATATTACCATAATATTCACCCCCTTCTCACTCTTTAAATGTCGAATGTATAATTAATCTAATTTCTATTTCGCCTTATAACCTCGTTACCTATATTAATTATAATCTATAAACTTTCCCCTCCTCTAACATCTCTCCAACTCTCTTTCCATTAATCCCTTACATCTTTTTATCTGTATATTTGAAAGTTATTTTAATCCCCCTTTTATTCCGCTTTTAATCTTAAATTAATATTTCACTCTTTATATAACCCCAAATTAATGTTATAAGGTTAATATTCAGGTTTAATGTTATAAAACTTCTCCACTTTAAAGAAAATATCTTCCACACGCCGATAGTTTTTAATTTTTTTTTTTTTTTTTTGAGTTGGGGTAGCATTCAAGGTTAAATTTCTATTTCTGACACGAACTTAGTCCACACCGGGGTTGATAAGACAGACGACCGATGTCTTCGTCTGCTGAAATAAGCTATTCCACATATGAGGTGATTTTGGCTTTTACACACACACACACACACACACACACACACACACACACACACATATATATATATATATATATATATACATATACATATATATATATATATATATATATATATATGAGTTTTTTAATATAAAAATGCATTATTATACTCATGCGATCAAATATATTTTGTTACGTAAATACTATTAAATATTTTAATTTATAATGATACACGTTTACTCATGGCGTCAATAATAATAACATATTTTATGTCCTTATATGTGAGTCTTACAACTATAGTAGTTTATCTATGCCATTAAAAATGACAACACTTTAAGCACTTATATATGAGTCTAAAATATATAGTAGTTTAGCTACGCCATTAAAAATTACGGCATATTTTAAGTCGTTATATGTGGGTGTTAAAATATAGCGGTTCACCTATGCCATGAAAATTGACGGTATATTTTAAGTCCTTACATTTGAGTCTTAAAAGTATAGTATTTTACCCACACCATTAAAATGACGGAGTACTATAAGCCCTTATATGTGAGTCTAAAAAATATAGAAGTGTACACACGCCATTAAAAATGATGGCATATTTTAAGTCCTTATATTTGAGTCTTAAGGCTATAGTAGTTCCCCACGCTGTCCTTACTATTATTTCACATGTGTTCATT